TCTGTTCAAGAGTAGTGGATGACCAGCAAAGCCTGCTTGCAGAACAATAAAAAAATCCCCTTTTGCAGGACTTGGAAAATGATTGGAGGAAAGGTTCCAACGAGCAGCACAGATAAGAAATGTAGGTGAAACGGTGCTTACCACATCTGCACAACATGCCTGACCTTTGTATTCACTGTGGCCACTAAATTTTCCTAACTGGCACGATTCCATTAGCATTTATAGCAGGATAATAGGAAATAATTATTTTGCCCAATCTCATTATTCTTAAAAAAACAAAAACCACAACAAAACCACAACAACAACAAAAACAATCAAACAAACAAACAAGTACTTTTTTTCACAGCATTTTCTGTGCTTCAGGTAGGACTGTCCTGTCCTCCTGCCAGGCCAGGGCACACCAGTCTGCAGCTCTCATCTGCATACAATGGCACTGCAAGGTTTCTTCCAGAGTTCACACCCTGACTACAAGTCCTCTTTATCCCATGTATTTGCTATCCCAGCAGTATTTGGTTTTTACTTTTCTTTTTATGGGAAAAAAAATAAATTGTTTTTCCATTTTCTCAATTTCCTTTCCTAACATTCAAATGGTATCACTTTGCTGCAATTAGATGGAATGGGTCTCTTCAATTTGCTGCTCCATTCCCTGATCTAGGTGAATTTTTCTCAGATGGGATCATGAACTGGGAACAGCTTCATCTTGTAGGGTTGGGATATGGGGATGTTTTTTAGGGTGAGAAAGTACACCTTGCTCTCCAGCCACCCTGAACACACCTTGTCACAACCAAGCCACAGGTGGGCTTGCTTAGGTGGCATCTGTTTATCAGCAGGGCATGTGGAGATATGAAATCTATCACAATATTTGAAAAGCTCGATAAAGGAACAGATGGCTTGATAGGAGATGATCTGACTAATGAAATGAGGGTTAACACTTCAACTGAGAAACAGTTTTAACTGGTACTTAACAGTTTTAATTGTATTTCATACAAGCCTCGGGGTGTGGAGCAGCTCCACTGGCTGCTGCTGAGTGGTCCCCAGGCCCCTTTTCCCACTGCTCCTCTTTCTGGGTGGGCAACCTTTCCTGTCAGGCCTCACTCCACCTTTGGAACAGGAAGGAGCAGGACAGGAGGAAAAGGCAGCAAATATAGTTTCAGAAGACATGCATCTCCCAGAAATGAAAGCAAACTCATGGCAATTCCCTTTTTTATTTTCCTCATCTTTGTGTACCTTTTCCTCCCAAAAAAACCCAGGCTAAACACAGCCAGTCTTCAATGGTAATTTCACCTTGGGAAGGACAACAACTAGAGGGGCATGAGATTGCTTTGCTTTGCAGGATGAGGGTTGTGGGAGAGGGGCTGCACCTCCAATGGTGTTCCATGAAGAAATCATTGTAGGAAATGTCTCCAAGGACCCACATAACATCAGCCCTTATGGCTGATGCCTCCCTGCATCTCTCTTGCTTTCTGCACTGGGTGGGCTCCAACACATGCTTGCTGTCCCCAGGCTGTGCCCTTTTTTCAAGCTGTGATTTTTTAAATTTGTGATAGGTTTTTGGTGGGCCTGTCAGCATCATGCGTTTCCCAGCACTCAGAGGGACACCATCTGCTCAAAAAGGAGCTGTGAACAAAATGTCTCAGACACTCAGAGTTTACCAAAAATGCAATTGCCTTAAAATCCCATATGGTGCATTGTTTCCCTTCCAGCACTGGCTGACAGCAGAGGTGAAGTGACTAAGGCAGTTTCTGCATTTTCCTTTCTGGCCAAAATCGCTGGGGCACTTTGGCCAGAGCACTGTCACTTCTCACCTTTTGGCAGAAGGTTTTTTTCAGCCTCAGCTGCTGAAGGGTACTGGGATTCAAAGACCTCCCCTCAATTACTTTTAAAGTGAGCTTCCTCGACTCTTGCTGTCACAAGAAGCCTTGCAGGGAGGGATGTGGTTAATGCTGATACCTCAAGCATATTTTTTTTCCAGGCACCAGATTTTGGGGCCTCTCTTGGTGACACGGAGGAAGCCATGCCTGGAAGTCACTTGTGGCTCCTCAGCGTGGCAGTGCCATGGGGCAGTGTCAGGTGCATGCAGAGGGGAAACTTGGCCAAGATCTCTGGATTTTGTGGGGTTGCAAAAAAGCAAATGCTGAAGAAAACATTTATTAGTTCAGGATAACACAAGATTTGAAATGCCAAAGCAGGAGGAATGTTGTTTCAGCTCTAAAAATAGCCGCCCTGGCCTTTAAAACACCGAGAAGCATACACAGTACATGCCTTTCTGTGGGAGCATCTGTCCTCTCCCTTGATGATGCAGCCACTTTGGTAAGGGCTCAGGGGACCTGCTGGTGCAGTGCTTGCTCTGAGGATCAGCACTCTGAGCGGTTTTCAATCCCTGGGGATCAGAGACATGAAATTTCTTCAGAATGTTGCATGAGGGCCAAAGCTGCAGGGTGAAGGAGTGTTGCTTGCTAGAAGGGCAGCCTACGGAATACCGATAAACTGCTGGTGTAAAACAAGCTCAGTTCTGGGGGCTGACATGGATTTAGGCATCTGTCTGTTTTGTGTTGGTTCATAAGTGATGGCACCAGGACAAAATTTTGACTAAGTACTACCTAATTTAGATTTTAGGAAAACAAACAAGACAGTCGCTGAATAACATCAGTCATCCTGACAGAGAGAGATGGGAAGGAAGAGGAAAAAGCAGTGGGAGCATTCATGTTGACTTAATCCTATGAGGATCAGACAGCAAAGTGACCCCTCAGGAAACTGTCCCAAATGGTTAGCACCGAACTGTTTTGCTGGGAACGTTCCTTAAAGTTCCTACCACAGGGATACTTTACAGAGATCACAAAGCCCACCACCGAGTAGGAAAGGGAAAAGGGGTGAAAGAGGCTCTTTTTGGGGTCACTTGCTCCCTTGAGGCCTTTCCGAGCAGCCATCCGGACGGGCAGCACCTCCCGGCAGGGGTTTGTGAGGCGAGCCCTCCCCGGCGCTGGGGGCTCGGGGCAGAGGGCGCAGCGGCAGCCGCAGGCTGGGTGGGCGCTCCCGGCTCTGGAAGGGCGGGCAGGGAAGAAGGCGGAGCAGGGACCCTTCGGCACGGCCGCACCGGGCACAGCCCGCAGGCAGCGGGCCGCGCACGGGGCGCGGTGCCCGAGGGGCGCCCTGAGGGCCGGGGCGGCTGTGGCCGCGTCCCAGCACGGCAAGGCCGGCGGTCACAGCGACACGCGGCGCTCCAGAGCCCGCCCCTCTGCCGCCCCGCCCTGTCGCGGATCGTCGCCGCCGCCCCGGGCGCGGTCCCGGTGCCCGCGGAGCCCCCGAGGTGCGAGTGGAGCAGGGCTGGGGCGGGGGCGCCGCAGGGGCTGCGGCGGGAGCCGGGAGCTGCCTGGCCTGGGGCACGGCGGGGAGGCACGGGCTGGGTAAGGGCATTACAGCCGCTTCACCCAGGGCCCGGAGCAGCCAGCTGGGGAACAGCTCTCCCGGGTCCTGATTTCGGCGTCCCTCCCACCCGTGGTTCCGTCCCTTCGGCGGCGGGGATGTGGCGGAGCTCGGCGGGTCCTCGGGCAGGCTGCTGCAGAGGGCTCTGTGAGGAAGCTCACCTGGCTGAGGCTGCGGGGTGGGACAGGTCCTGCCTTCCTTCCCCAGACCCTGTCAGGATGTCCTGGCAGGACACGCAGGCCGTGTCCGGTTAATTCCCTGGAGGGAATTTAAGGTGTCGAGAAAGGCCCTTCAGCTGTGCTGTGGTGCCTCGGGGAAGGCAGGGCGAGATCCTCGAGGTCCTCTCTCTGAGTGATGGAAAGATGCTGGGTGCTGATGTCCCAGGGGCGCTTGGGATCTCAGGCTTAGCTTTTAGTTAGAGCATCATGCTTGTGCCAGACCTTTGATTCAGAGCGCTTAAGATATAAAGGTCGCAGAAATTATGAGTTAACCTTTCTGCATTTTTAATTTTTGTTTGGTTGGGTTTGGTTGGTTTTTTGTTTTGTTTTTTTCCTCTTCAAGCAAAGCTGCTTGTGAAAGTGACCCTAAGGGTTGTCTGATCAACATTCCCGCAGTTCTCATGCCGTGGCAGTGCACACATGCACAGTTAATTAGGAATAGCAGCTCAATATGGAGGAGGGCAGTGTGTGGAAGGTATATCCTGACACTGACTGCCTGTTGTGTCTTGCTCAAGCAGATGACAGTGCCTAAAAGAAGGGGGGTTGGTTGGGTTTGGTTGGTTTTTTGTTGGTTTTTTTCCCTCTTCAAGCAAAGCTGCTTGTGAAAGTGACCCTAAGGGTTGTCTGATCAACATTCCCGCAGTCCTCATGCCGTGGCAGTGCACACATGCACAGTTAATTAGGAATAGCAGCTCAATATGGAGGAGGGCAGTGTGTGGAAGGTATATCCTGACACTGACTGCCTGTTGTGTCTTGCTCAAGCAGATGACAGTGCCTAAAAGAAGGGGGCTTGATTCTTGCCCACTTTCTGCCTTTGGGTAATGGGATGAAGACAGGGGACTCCTGTTTGCTTGACAAATGTCTTGATCCTGATTTCACTGCTGAACTATTTAAAGTGAATTTGTTTTCTTGTGGTTTATCCATGCCCAGCTGTCAGCATTTTCTGAACCTGGGTGCTGAAAGTGCAGTTGTTTCATTTCCCCTTTTAAAATTCTTTGTGCTGCAGTGTTTGCGTTTCAGATGCAGAGCAGGGATGTGTGCCTGTAAGAACACCAATGTTTTCAATTTTTTTTTCCCTTGGAAGAAATGTCATGTCTGTGGTTCTCTCTCTTCCCCCAGCCATTTCCGGGCAGTCTGAGATTGCAAGATTGCAGTTTGGCCCAACAGAGAGACTTTAAGGTCCCAGTCCTGCAGTCCGAGCTGAAGCAATGAGCTCTGATTGCAGGTTAAGTGGGAGCAAAGAAAGGTCTGTGATAAAAGAGAAAGATTATTCTAGACAATATTTTGGGAAGGATACACCGGGATAGGTGGTGGCAGGTGAGGAGGCTGCTGCTGTAGCTGAAGGCTTGGACCAGGACTCGCTGAGTGCACACTGATTTCCAGTGTGATGTCTCAGCGAGCAAATCACTGGCCTTGTTGTCTAAAATGGGAATAACTGTGGGCTTTTGCTGTCTCGAAAAGACTTGCAAAAGTCTCTCTTTCCCTTAGGTCCTTGCAGGTTGCAGAAGAGGTCACCTGAGAGCAGGATGAGAGTCAAATGGAACAAAAACACGTTGGGAATAGGTGAAGAGAGAAGGGCTGAGTGGATGGGAGGAGAGGAAAAGACTGATGCAGCTTCAGAAACCATGAAAGGAACTGTTAAAACAGCTATAGGTTACCTCACATGGGGTTTATTGCACATTTTTAATGCTGAGCTTGCTGCTGGAGGGTCCTGCCAGCCGGGGAGAGGTCTGGGCTGCCTCTCCCATGGGTAGCAAAGGGAAGGGAGCAAAAGCCTGGAGGATGTGGGCTGATCTGCTGCAATGGTGGGGAGAGTGTCCAGCATCCTCCCTGCAATTTCCTGAGCTGGGGCAGGTCCAGGTACTTAGGGAGAGAACTTCTGCTCTTGCTGTATTAGTGCTTCCAGTGAGGAACCACTGGTATTAATAGTGGTGACTGCCTAAACCAGAAGAGCCAGTGGCCCTTCAGTTTTGGCACCACAGGACTGCAAGAGTGGGTTTTGCCTGGCCAAGACACTGAGGATGGCCACAGCTTTGTCAGAGGGAGCCTCCCCAGTGTGGTCTTGGACCAGCTGAACGCTCTTAGAGGTCGTTTAACGTGGTCTCCTACAGGAAAGTCTGTCTCTGAAAATATTTCAATACACTTCAGAAGTAATAATCCCTCTGGGTGCAGTGTAGAGGCTGCTCACACAGGCTTGGCCCCTGTTTAACAGCTGGAAGCTGTTCCCTGCTGCCCTCTGTCCCTTGTGTTTGCTTGAAGGGAAATGCTGTATGGCACCTTCCTACTGAGGCTCACCCAAACACCCTACAAACTGCCATTTATGGCTGTAGCAGCGTGAGACACTGGTAAACAAAGGAAATTAATTCCTACAAATAAAAAATGCTGGCAATGAAGTGGCGAACACCACAGAAATGCCTGTCTCTGATTGCTTACCTCGTTCTTTGCCTCTCAGGGCAAATGAATTCCACAGGTCTCAACAGAGTCAAAAGACAATCCCTGTGCCAGAGAGGGCCACTTTAGTGGGATGACAAGAGCCAGATGATGGGTACTGCACATCCATTCTGTGTAGCTCACCCTCTGGCCCATCACCTTGTTGCTGCTCCTCTGGGGCTTTGGTGGTTAATAAGTGAAGAATATCACTCCACCTCTTTCTGTGGAGGAGGAGTAAGTCCTCAGGCTGAAGAGGTTGGTGAGGGAAAACTGTCCTGAGAAACAGTGTGCTCTGCCACAGTCCCTAACAGCTCACAGGACTTGGGTGTTTTCCCCAGGATGAGTTGCATTTACCAAAGGAAAACTGGGAACAGTGTACATCTCTCCAAAAGTGTGGAGCTGCAAAGTGCAGTGAAGAAAGGAGCTTATGCATCCAAAAGGTGAACAGGAGAATGGTGAAAGGGATAAGAGAGATGAAAGACAGGGTAAACAGGTGGGAGAAGCCCTGCTTACACCCCATGAGAAGCTCTGTAGCTTGAGTGTGTGTTTTCTGTTTGGTGGGGAGAAAACAGTGGCAGGGTAGAAAAAGCAGGGGAACCTGGAATTTTTCTGGCCTTGCAGGGCGTGTACTCTCTCATCCATAAACTTCAGGAGAAGGAGACAATATGATCAGGAATAACGTTCTGCCAAGTCTGTTCCCCTGGGCCTGTCTGTTTTTCCTTACCTTCAAAGCTATTTGTAAGTCAACACTTGGAGTTTCACCTCCCTGTTAAGTGTTCTTTGCCACTCCCAACACTTACATTGTTTTCCTGATAATGGGACAGACCTTTTGGGCAGGCTTCCTTCCCCCTTCTGATGTAATGTGTGTCTTGGCTTTGCTTGCTCGTGCACGTTGGAAATGATTGAAGACATTTGTGATTTTTGAAACTGAGGAGCAAGTAAAACACCTCGATCAGTTTATTAACACCCTGTCAAGACCTCTGTACGTTATGGGAGGAGAAACACTCAATCTGCTTGTTGCTGCTTCATTAGATTGTGGCCATTAGGTTGGGGTGGTTGAGGTGGAGGGCAATCAGCCTGTCTGCTCAGTGACTCTGACTTCCTGGGCTTTGCCACAATACCAGCCTGCATTTCTGTGTTTCTTGCAGAGCAAGGAGATGGTTTCAGAGACTCTTTCCTCACAGCACAGCTGAAGCAGGGAGAGCTTTGCTGTTTTGTTTTTTTTTTGTTTGGTTGGTTTTTTTGAGGAGATAGCTCTCCTCATTTTCCAGCAACTCTTTAGTTCGGGGATTGGCTGGGACTTTGAGGTAAGTGCCCTTCTCACAAGCATCCCAAACCAAAGGAATCTCAAGGGGAAGATATGCCCCTGTGGTCATGGTGGTGGTGTGAGACTGTGGGTTTGGGCTGTGTTGAGATTCTGCTAGAGATTTCCCTTGTGTCTCAGAGGTCTGGTGAAAGTGGCTCCAGTCTTGAGTATCTCTGTGTTAGGGAAACTTTCCTGTCTGACCACCCAGAAGCCAGTCTGTCAGTCACACTCCCACCACCCCAGGCGGTCACTGCTGGGACCAAAGCCCTTTCACAGTGGGTGGGTTCCTGTAAGCTGATGTGTGCCTTGCTTGACTCCCCACACACCCCACATTTGCACAGCCAGACAGGTTTTCCTCACTGGCTGGATCTCAGGATTCCCATAGGAGAGTCCAAGAAGCCTGGATCCTTTAAGTAATTTAATGATGGTGCAGTAACACCATAACAGCTTGAATTGATGCCTTCAGGGGGACTCCCTGCACTAAGGAATCCCTGGCCTTTTATACCCTCACTGTCTCTGTGCCTGTTCCAATTGTGATATTTAATCTGGGGCCTTCTGGCTGTTTATTTGGGTTCTACAGAGTCCCTGGGTGACCAGCCACCCTTGTGCCACAGGTCTCCATGCCCTTTGCTAGGCACAGGGTAGATGCCAGGTCATGGCCCTTGCATGTGGCTCCAGCCACCACCACAACCTGCAGCTGCCACTGCAGTTGCTCACCAAGCTGCTGCTTGTATTCCTCAACATCTGCACTTGGAGAGAGTAAGGCATCTGCCCTGGGAGGTGGGCAGCCCAGCACACACTGGGAGGACTCACTGGGAGCTGGTTGCCACCTGGCTTGTGCAGCCCCTGGGGTCAGGAGGAGCTGGGATGGCTGTATCCTGCAGTGAGTTTTCCCTAGCACAGTGGGATCCCCGGGGCAAAGAAACACACAGCACCCGCAGAGTGCAGTTCTCCTCAGCTCACCCTGGCTGCTCCTGCCTGGTTTCACTGCCTGCTGCCCCAGCTCCTTATGTCTGAGCTGGATGTTACCTTCTGCCTTACCCAGCTCCTCTCTCTTCCTCCTCTACCTGTTTGCAGGCTGAGGGCCATGACTGCCAAAGCCCTGCTCATGGTGTGAGTGGGACCTCATGGAAGTCAGTGTGATCTGGCATAGGTCCATGGGTCAAATCCTGCAGAACACCCCTTTAGTCCCATGGTGGCAAATCAGATTAATTGTTCTTTTCCCACACGCAGGAGCGTGGTGTGGAAGCGGGGAGTGCCTGGTTCACGCAGCGCCAAATGCGAGACAGGCAGACACAGCCCACAGGAGTGGAGAGTCAGCGCCTCTTGTTGTAAGACAGCAGCTCAGCACTGGTTGCTAAATGGCCTGTAAGTACTTACACCCATGTGGGACTGAGGGTGGAGGTTGTGGGGCAGCACGAAGCAGAAAACCAAGGGCACTTTTTGCAGTACAGTGGGATGCACTGGCCTCAGGGCCCAGCAGTGCTGCAGGAATATCTCTGGGTCAGACACTGTAGATTTCAATATGTCCTTTACTGCCCCTGTTTTTTGGTGATTAGAAGGTTTCATTCCTTTGTTGCACTTGGCCCACCTCTGGTAGGTTTATGTTGGCCAGAGCATTTCATTAGTACATTGAATGCAGTCAGTGTACGAAATGAGACAAGAAACATGTACTGATGTTGCCATGGGTGAAAACATTGCCTCTCAACATTGTTGCAGGATTACTGAAGCATCTCTCCTGCTTCCCCCACGCACAACCTAGAGATGTCTTTACCTTTTCCCATTCCTCTTGTATAAATGAAATGGAAATGGCATTTGTGCACATCCGTGAGATGGTAGGTGGGTACCTGGAGCAAGCAGAGCATCCTACCCTGCTGACAGAGGGGATCACTTCTTTTCTTGTTGCCCCACCATTTTGTTATGTATTTACAAGCCTCTGTCACATCTTATCTCTCTCATTGTGCACTCACAGTGGAAACCTTGAGATAAACCTGAAAACGCCCTGCTTTGTTATGTTGGCATTTGTGACTTGTGGGTGGCAGGTTATATAATGTGCTGGTTTGTATCCACTCAGTTACAGTGATTAGCTATCAAGTGACTGGGGTTATTTTGGCTTTTAAAAGCAGCAGAGATCTATAGTGGGCTCCCCCAAAAGATAGAATGTGTTTGTTCCCCTTTGATTATTGCTGACTGGCAGCAATTCTTTATGACTTGCTCTATGTTTTGAACAGTGTCCTCCTTCTCTCAGTGCTCCTGCCTTTGTAGCTATTCTCTGAAATAACCCAATGGCCCAGTGCTGTGAAATACAGGAGTGTTGCTCTGCCTTATTATGCATTTCAAATGCATCTGCATGCTTTAGTCTTAAAAAAGATGTATGACTCCGTTAATGTGGTAATTTCGTCCTTCCTTACATTCATGTTCTCTGGTGAAAGCAACTTCAGGAGGAGCCTGTAACTGCTTGGCAGATGAAATTAAGATGTCCATATTAAATGAACCTTGAGCAAGCAGCAGTATATGTTTGGTGAGCTGCCTGCTGTAATTGAAGTGTGTACATTAGAGGAACGGAAGCTTAATTGGTTGAGGGTGTATAGTGGGGCAATGGTAAAAAAAGCAGAGCAAGCAGCTGACAGTCTAAGCAGATTTAGACATAAAAATGGAACTGGAGATGAGTAAGCTTGCATTGAGAGAAATTCTCAAGACACACACCGGGGCAGTGCTGATGTGAAACTCTTTTCAGGTCTGCCTGACTCAGATGGCAGCAGGAGCACACCTCAGCAGGGGTTTTGCAGTGCTGGTGTAAGAGTGTGTGTCAGGAGGGACTGGAAAACCACATGAGAGCTTTTGAGAAGGTGGGCTGGGTCAGCTGGGATGCTGAAAATGTTTTTGTTGGTTTTGTGAATCCATTGCACCATGAGGGCTTTCTGTGCCTGCCTGTGCAAACCTTAGTGTTGGAAGACTATAGGCTATAGGAAATTACCAACTGCCTCTTGGATGCATGTTTATTTGGGAGAACATGGGCTGGCAGAGATTGCTGTTGTTGCCAGCTGGAGTTGACTGCTCAGATTTGGCTATAGGAAATTACCAATTGCCTCTTGGATGCACGTTTATTTGGGAGAGATTGCTGTTGTTGCCAGCTGGAGTTGACTGCTCAGATTTGGCATCACTGGACATGGCAGCAGTGCAGAGCAGAGCTGTGGAGAGGAAGTTTGGCTTTATGTCATCCCTGTGGAGCAATTAACTGTCAAAGAGTTTGTTTCTACATTACCCATAAAGAATTTTGGTAATTTTTCCTATCACTCTTGGCACTCTACTTTGGCTAAACTGGTGTGGTGCTGCAGGAGAGGCTGTTGTTTGGGTTCCTTGTTCTCTTGTTCCTGTCTGCTTTCAGAGGTGCTGGTCCTAGTGTGCACAGAGGTCTCCCAGCTTGAAGATACAAACACTGGGGACATCCCTGAAGAGGACAGGGGTATAACCCAAAGGCAGCTGCTGACAATGATGTCTGCTGAACACTAGTGCAAACCTGGGCAGGTTGGCACATGCTCAGGGTTTCTCCTTTGGAAGAAGTTGGGATTACATGTAATTTTGTTCCTGGCACCTGAATAACACAACAGGGAATAAGTGAGGAATGTGCAGGAGCTGAGCCGTGTTTTTAAACTATCCTCTGCCCACGTGGGGATGCTGAAACATATCCAGGCATGTGTGGGCTGTGCCAATGGCCGGCATTAAAAGGTGTTGCTGTTTGGGGACATGAAGGAAAGAGACCCTTCTTTCCTGTTTTTGGTATTTCATCTGTCAGATGCAGGTGGCTTCCTTCTTTTTAACTGGCTGAAGTTAGGGTCTCTGAACTGTGGAGCTGCCTTCCCATCAGGACACCGTACTCTGCTCTGATTGTTCATGTAATATGCAATGATTTTGGATGTCATCTTCTGTTAGTGGCTGATGGAAGGGGACTCAGTGTGGCACAGTGAATATTAAACAGAAGGCTGTTTTCCAAGGAGGTGGGTCTGTAGCCATGTTGCTCTGACTCTGAGGAGGTTGGGCACTAGTTTTGGCCTTGCTCATTTTAGAGGTCAGTACAAAACAGTGGCTATCTAGACAGTATTCTCACATTTCCCTATTCTGGTGTGGAGTCCATGTCCCTGTGTGCTGCCTTGCTGCTCTCCCTGGGGGAAGAGCCCTTGCCACCTCCCTCTGTGCACGACAGGCAATGCTGAAATAGCTTGTGAAGGCTGCTGTTTCCATGCTGGGAGGTGGAGGAGCTGCTGCAGCCCTTTATGAGGACAGGTGTTATGGCTACTGTTTGCTTTTATTGTGTAAATGAAACTTCCGTGCCTTTCCAAGGGTGAAGGGTAAATAATAAGATGTGCCATCCATTTACATGAAAGAACTGTGTTACCTTGACCCAGTCCAGCCACCACCAGACACAAGAAGAGAGCCGAGCACAGCAGTAATTTCCTTGCAGAGCAGACAAGGGCTGGAACAAGAGGTGTGTTACCTGCCTGCTCCCTTCAGCCAAGGCAGGAGGGGGGAATTTGGCCACAGTTGTGTCTGCCTTGCATGGGGCACTGGCACTTGGGCACTGTGCTGCCAGAGGCTGTCAGGGACACAGTCCTGTGGCAGGTGGAGCAGCTGCCACCTGGGAGTGGTCCTTGAGATTGCTGTCACGGGTCTCCCAGTACCACAGCACCATCCAACACCAGCTAAGGAATCTGCTGCAGTGCTGCTGAGCAGCAGGAGGAAAAGGCAAGGGCAGCACTTCATGGAATAGCTGCAAGCACGACAGCAGGAGTTACAGAAATGTGAGATGCTGTGTCTCCTGTGCTGGAGGAGAGGAATAGAAGTGAGATGGGAAATCTAGTCCTTCTTGCTGGTAATTTCTTCTGATCTGTTCACTGTGCTAAAGATCTGTATGCACACTAGAGCTGCCTGCCTCTTAAATCAGCATACTTGCATCATTTCATGCTCCTTGTCTGCAGTTCTCTCTGCTCCCAGGTCAGAGAAAAGACCTTATCTGCCTGCCTTTCTGTCTTTTAAGGTTTGGAACTCAGGCTTTCTGTATAAACAGCACCAAATCATGGTCTCATGGCTTTGTGCAAGTGAGGTGTGACTCTGGGCACTGCCAGGGTGTTATTTTGTACCCTTGCTAGGCCATTTGCAGGGAAAACAAGATAGCTGACCTGTAGAGGTGAGAGTGCCATGCCTTCTGCAGGGTGTGGGGAGCCTCACTCAAGCTCTTCAGCCTCCGTCCCAGTGGGGCAGGGCAGGAATTGGTGCCTGGGGCCCCGAGCAGTCCAGCCAGCATGTCCTTTGCAGCCTGGGGTGCCTTAGGGGAGCAGTGGGGTGCTGTGACATGGTGAGGGTGCTGACTCTTCTGGGTCTTCACAGCAGGGAGCAGACCATGGCTCTGTGCTGCAGACGTAGGAAGGCCAGGGGAGTTGAGAGGAGGAGGGTGACAATGCTGGTACTTTCTTCTCTGGGGCAAAGGGAAGGGTCATGGCTTTAAGGGCCTGGACGAGGTAATTGAGCTGCAAATGCAAGCAGGCTCCAGTGAGAGGCTGTCATCTCTAAGTTTTCCTGGCACCCCTGGGTGCCTCGCTGTGCCATGTGGGTGCTGGTGGTCCCAGGGAATGCCTTCCCTGCAGCAGGGAAGGGGGACAAAGCATGGGGGCACAGGTGCTGCTGCCCTGGTGAAAGTAAAGCAGGTGCTGGAGCTGTGTGCCTGGTGGTGTTCCCTGCTCTTTGTGCCTCTTGCCTGTGCTGGAACATTGCTGGAACATTGATGGAGGAGGACAGAGCATGAGGAAATACTTGATCCATGATCAAAGGACTCTCATGGAGATGTAGGACTGTCTGTGTCCGCAGCACAGCAGCGGACCGAATTGCTTCTGAATTGCACATATTACAGGAACAGCCCCGACATTCCAGATGCTCGTCCAGCATGATCTTGCCTGGAGGACAAATGCCTCCTCGGGAGGCGCTGTCCGCAGCATCCTTACGCCACATGCAGGATTTCACAGTGCCTGCAAGCCGAGGGCTGATGCTGGTGGCAGCCTTATCCCGACTCCCGACAGCGCCCTGGGACCGGCACTGGAGCTTGGCTTCGCTCCAGGCGTGGCCAGGCGCTGTTTTTAGCTGCTTGCTGGTCGTGCCCTTGGTGGAGATGATGGCACACGGGCATCCCTGTCTCTCCATGCTGCAGGCTTTGCTGAGGCAGCGTGTGTGGAATTGGTAATGATCCTGGCTGGGAGGCTGCCCTGCCTTGTGTGTGTGGGAAGAAGCAGGGAATCAGAGCTGCAGGTCGTGTGGTCACCTTGCACAAAACCCTTGAGAGAGGTGCTTTGAAAGCCACTCAAATTCTGTAGGTGTGGTTGAAAAGTCTCCCTGCTGCTGCTCGGGTTGTTACAAACCGTGTGGAGGATGCTGCCTTCGGGCAGCAGCTTAACCCCTTGTGGCCATGAGGAGCTCGGTACCTCGGCACCTGCCCTGGGAATGCCCTCCTTGCTCTCAGAAGAGCGGGGCTGAGGAGGGTGGGTGCCTCAGCCCTCTGTTTTTACTTTGTTCTTTGTTTCTAGCAGGTATGGATGGGAAGAAATGCAGCGTGTGGATGTTTTTACCTCTTGTCTTTACCCTGTTTACATCAGCTGGATTATGGATAGTGTAAGTTATCTCCTGCTGGTTATTTGGGAGGCTGCTTCTCATTAAGGAGAGTCTTTTGGGGATGCTCTGCCCTTGAGCTGCTGTGGGGCTGGGAAGGCACATGATAGGGGCAGGGGCCAGTCTGTGCCACTTTGTGGCTTGAAGTATCGCATTCTTATCCCTGAGTTTCAGCCAAGTTGCTGACCTTGCTTTCTTCCTGGTATGTGCTACTGGGAGCTGCCTTAAAAGAGACAGCCAAAAATATAAAAATTTTCTTTAATGACATTTTCTTTGAATGACTCAGCAGAGCTCTTGGAGAAACACTTAGGCCCTGCTTTGGGGTAGAAATTCAAAATCTGCAGCATCCAGCACCACACTGAAAACCTGCCAGCAGCTTAATGCTGACACCTCACTTTATCCCTAATGCTTCTTACCAAAATGCATGTAAGACATGCACTTCCCTGAGCTGGGCTCTCTGCAAGCATGCAGGCAGATGACTGCAGCATGAATTTGGGAATGAAAAATATGTGATCAGCAGCTATGCTCAGGCTGAGAAGCAGTTATGTTGTAGGATGTGGCTTTGGCCATGGTCTAGGGATGCTGTTTTTCAGCAGCAGGGGCAGCTTAAGCCTTTTGTCTGACCTCTGATGCTTGCTGTTTTTCTCATCCCATCCCCTCTCCATTAAAACAGCTTTTGTGGATGGAGTACCATAGTAAACCTGATGAATCAAAATGACTCAGACTAAAAATGAAAACATTCCCCTGGCTGGTTGTTTTTAAAGCAGCTCAGTTCAGTGACCCTGTTTGCCTACTCAACCATGCAAACCAGATGCAACACAAAGGAAGGCACATGGACTGAGAAATAATAAAACTGCCTGCTTGGGCAGAGAGAAACGCAGGATCCTCCAGCAGATCCTGCCAGTGGGCTTGGAACACTTAATGTGTTGTTTGAGTGATATTTAGAATGGAAGCTAGGATGAGGTTTTACATTATTTCCTTTTTTCTTTTCCCTTTTTTTTGACAGGTACTTTATAGCAGTGGAAGATAACAAAATTCTCCCACTAAGTGTACCAGATAGGTAAGAGCTGTTTGTGAGCTTTATATACAATCACTTGTTTCTTTGAAATAATGAAACAATTACAGCAAAATGGGAAAGAAAACCTTGAATCTTTTTTCCTGTTCCTGTGTCTCTTAGGAAACCTGGTCCCAAAAGACCGCCTTATATAAGGTAAATGAATTATTTTCTTCTACAAGTACTGCTCTGGTTAATGTTTGCTATTTATGTGTCTTTGCCATCCTCGAGTTACAATGATACATTTTATATTTTCAAGTATTGCAGGTGATGCACCTCCTGCAAGCTGTGTGTTTAGTCAAGTCATGAACATGGCAGCATTTCTAGGTAGGAACCACAACTGGAGTTTCTTTCTTTCTGTTTGTTTTAAGAGTCACTGAAACAGAAGTAATATCCTGTACATATTCTTCTTGTCTGTGATGATGTGAAACCTTTTGAACTGTATGTTTCATTGCTGCTGCTTCCCATTGCAAAGAAAAAAATGTAACAGGGGAAATGCAACCTCCAGACTGCAAATGTGTCGTGGGAGGTGTGATGGTAGGTGACTGTCTTGGCCTTGGTGATCGTGAAATGGTTGAGTTTAGAACTTCTGCTGTAATTAAAAAAAAAAGGAATTTAGGGAATCAAAGCAGAATTGATATCCTAAATTTCAGGAAAGCAAACTTTAAGCTATTCAGGGAGGTACTCAGCAGAATATCTCAGGAATCTGCTTTTGAGGGCTTGGGTGTCCATGAGCGCTGGTCAGTCTTTAAGAAGCACAGGAGCAGGCAACCCAGCTGTGTGGGATTGTGGGGCAGAAGACCAGCTTGGCTTAAGAGGAGAAAGCTATTATATGGTCTCTGGAAGAGAGGTTAGGCTTTGCAGGAAGATTGCAGAGCTGTGGTTTGTGTATGCAGGGAGAGGGCAGGAAAGGCCAAAGCTCAATTTGATTTAAAACTGGCCAGAGTTGTTTCAGACAACAAGAGTGTTTTTAAGTATGTCAGTGGGAAAAGGAGGCCTAAAGAAAATGTTGGACAGAGGTTTGTTGTTAAAGGCTGTACCCTGGCTAATAGGGATGATGAAGAAGAGAAGCCATTCAGTGCTTTTTCTGCCTCAGTCTTTTATAAAATACTGATAGACCTGGGGTTGTTTAGTCCTCTGGGTTGAAGAACTACAGGTGTGGGAGCAGTGACTGTCCATTTGTGAGCACTGGAATTGTCAGGGAGCAGATGTATCAGCTGAATGCTCACAAGTCCCTTGGTCCTGGATGGGATTCATCCCAGAATACTGAAGGAAGTAATGGATATTAGGGAAGGACTCCTCTCTATCATCTACCAAATGTCTTGGGGTTCTGGGCGTGGCCCTGCTGACTGGAAGCCAGCCAGTGCTATTCAGATCTACAAGAAGTGCATGAAGAAACACCCAGAGACCTACAGACCTGTTGGTCTAACCTCAGTTCCTGGAAAAATTATGGACAAGATGATATAGACACATTTAAAGAATGATGCAATCACCAGGCACAGTCAGCAGGGGCTCACAAAGGGAGAGTCCTGTTTAAAGAATTCAATATCCTTCCCTGATAAGGCCACACACCTGCTGGGTGAAGGGAAGGTGTTGGATGTAGCTTTTCTGGATTTTAATAAGACTTTTGACACTGTCCCTCACAGCAGCCTTCTGGAGAAGTTGTCCACCTGTGAGATGATCAGGTTCACAGTGCACTGGGTGAAGGACTGGCTGAAGGGCAGGACTCAGAGGGCTGTAGAGGAGCTCCATCTGGCTCCATCCAACCACCAGTGCTGTCCCTCAGGGCTCTCCTCTGGGGCCAGTTATGTTCAATATTTTTATCAACTATCTGAATGAATGACATGAAAGCACCATTAGCGAGTTTGCTGGTGATCCCAAACTGAGAGGTGCTGTTCACTCTCCTGAAAAACCAGGTACTTTCCAGAGGGATCTAGATAGCTGGAACATTTAATTTCATTGACATGAAATTAAACAAGTCTAAATGCTGTATCCTGCACCTGGGATGGAGTAACACTGAGCTCAAGTATAAATGGGAAGAAGCTGTGGAAAGGGAGGTGTGGATCTCTTCCTCCTCAGATCCAGTGACAGGACGTGGGAATGGTTCAAAACTGCTCCAGGAGGAGTTTAGACTGAACATTAGGAAGCATTTCTTTACTGAGAGAGTTATCAAACACTGGAATAGGATTCCTAGTGAGATGGTTGATGCCCCAAGGCTGTCACTGTTCAAGAAGCATCTGGACAATGCCCTTAATAACATGCTTTAACTTTTGGTCTGCTCTGAATTGGTCAGGTAGGTGAATTTGATGATTGTTGTAGGCCCCTTCCAACAAAAATAATCTGTTCTGTTCTAATCTCTGCTTTGTGGATGAAGTCGTTCTATGCTGTATTTGTGTACTTCTTAGAGCTGCTTTTAGCTTGTATCCCTGACCACCTTAGCTAGTCAAAAATAAAGGAGAGGAAAACTACAGAGCCATGCTAGAAACGTGGGAATTACTGAAATTGAAAATACCATTGTTTTGCTGGGAATGCCTTTAATACCCTTTTGTCATTCCCATCAGGTTTTAGAAAAAGATCATATAATTTCAGGAATCTGTATTATAGAAATAGAAATTAAAAAGTTCCTGTACATGAGCTGGAGTAGTCACAGGTGGCTGTCCCAAACAATTGCCTCAGAATGGAAAATAGAAATCCTCTTTTTGAGGTGGAACAAAGTTCTTGTTTTTAAGGATTTGGAGTGGATTGATTCACTAGAGTAATTGTGAGAGAATAAATTCAATTGTCTTTTGCAGTTTGGGTAATTTTCACTTACAGTGCCCTTACTTTCCTAAACCATGTTTTTATATTATACCAGGGATAATATATTTTCAATATTATACCAACGCTTTTGTGTAAAGCGCAGATCTAATTTGCTAAAGTGAGCTATTTACAACAACATGAACTACATGCTATTGATTTGAGCATGAGCATAAGAAGCTGCTTGCCAGCAAGCAAATTTCCCTGTTTAACCAAATTGGTTTTTAGTGGTCTGGTTTGAGTCACATCTGAAGGCCAGCTGATTGCCTGGCTTTCTGTGCTGTTCCATGCACCGTTCACTAGGGAGGGCAAGAATACACAATGTGAGTATCTTCTGGGGTTATGCCATATCAATGATATATGATATATCATATCTGTCATGTGCCATATACCATAGTGCTTGAGGGAATTGGAATAAATGTTATTCCATTTTTCATGGAAAATTAGTGCAACATTTTGGCTTATGTTTGTGGCAACAGAACTTGTTCTAGAGAAGGAGAAAAGGCAGTGGATGTTATGGCAAACCCTGCAGAAATATGCATGTGCCTTTGACATGCTTTTAAATACAAGTGGGGTTTGACATCCATCCTCCAGGAGAGCTCAGGACTCAAGAGTGGAGTGAAGCAATGCAAGCCCAGGTGCCACTAAGTGAATGCATGGTGTGCATGTGATGGACTATGTGCTGGGAGCTTTACAAGCAGCAGGAAGGTGTTCCTTCCCCAGAAAATGTGCAGACAAAGCATAATGAGAAGAGGAAGCCTGGAGCTTGCTGTAGCTGGATGGCAAGAGAAATGCTTAATCCTGTCCCTGGTTAAGTAGGAGGGGGCCGTGCAGAAGCAGAAAGCTTGCCAGCCCGCAGGTAGAAAGAGGAGGGGGGGGCAGTGGGGCCCCAGGCAGGTGTTTGCTGCAGCAGGTTCTCCCTACTGACGCCCCTTGCCTTGTGTTTCCTTCCCAGCGCTTGTTGTGGCTGTCCTGCGCTTCATTCAGCTGAAGCCAAAGGTGCTCACCCCTTGGCTGAACATCAGCGGCTTGGTGGCTCTGTGCTTGGCCTCTTTTGGGATGACCCTCCTCGGCAACTTTCAGGTACTGCTCTGCAGGCTTGGGCTGCTCTGTCTGTGATGTGATTCCCTGCTTTCCCAGCGGGTCTGCTTGGGTCTTTGAACCGGCTGTGATGTGAGCCTGGGAAAAGCACGTGCCCCAGCCCTCCCTCTACCTGCTCTGCCACCTCTGTCTGCCGCTTGTGAGCCAAGATGAAGGGCCACAATCACTTTTCATGTGTCTCCAGCAGGGTTTGCACCTGCATGCTTAGAGCTGACCTGCTGAGAGCCTCAGCAGGAGCCTCCTGAATCTCTTGAGCCCTGGGAGTTGGCACAGATGGCCCTGGGTGAAGGGGCTGAGTGGGAAGTTTGTGGACACATCTGTGCAAACAGATGCACGAATGCCCATACACATTTAGCAGACAGCTCAGTGTCCTTCTTTTAAAACATATGTTGCTTTAAATCCACCTCCTGCTGATCCTCAGACCTGCCAGGAGAGGGACACGGCAGAGGAGTGCCAGGACTTCTCTGGGTGTGATGGGTGTCTGGGTGAGGGCCCTCCCATTCCCCCTCTGTCCTGCAACGCTGTAGCAACAAACATCTGCCACATCGGTAGGGATGGGTGTCCCCTGTGACCTGATTGTGTCTGTCGGGGCTGCAGTGAAAATCGAGGTGTTAGTCAGTGGGGCTTGGGTTTGACTCTGAGGCTGTGTCTCTCACTGGGGTGCACGTAATGACCCCCAATAATGGCAGGAACTGAGAAAGGTCAGTGCAGTCTGGCTGCTTCCCTGACTTTGCATGACAGGGACCCAATACAGAAATGGTACTTGTTTTGTGAAGGGTGAGGAGGATCTCTTTGTACTGCAGTTATTGAAGGAACTTGGTGTCCTTCACTGTTGACTTTTTTTTTTCTTTTTCCATGAAGTGTGAGATAATTTGACTTTTATGGACTTGATCTTCCTAACTCCACAGCACAAGCCCAAAACATAGGCTCTTGTTTTTTCACAAGAGTTTTCCAGCTAGGAATTATGAATTATTATTATTAATTAGGAATTATTGTCTACCTCTGAAAAGAGTATTTCTGGTACAGGACAGGCACTAGGAAATGGTTTCGACCTCACCTTCCTTTTTTCAGTCTGTAGAGCAAATGATTGTAATTTAACAGTAGGTGCTTTGAATCTTGCCTGGATATAAATTCTGATTACTCTCTGATACCTGATTCTAACTATCCATTCCATGTTAGTTACCTGTATCCTTTCTTAGATCTTTTGCCAAACATGAAAACAAGCTGTAATACGATCTTAATTTATGCCTCTCCCTGCCTGACTGCTGAGCTGAATGTGGCATTAAATGATATTTTTGGAAAATTATACTTGGGGTGTTTTAGAGGGACATTATAGCTGCGAGTCCCTTGCAGTGCTGACTGTCTTGGGAAAGGCAGCTCAATCCCATTTTTGCCTGAATGATTATTTGGACCTACTCTTGAAAGAAATTCAGGGTAGAGAGGAGGGGAGATATCACTGGAGGCACAGAAACTAGATTGTTGTCCTGTAGATTGTGTCTTGTTTGATGGGTATCTGTTAAATCATCAAGCAGGAATTAAAGCTGCAGGGAGAAGTTACAGATTGGCAGTTTCTTTTCTAGAAAAGCCTCAGAGGCAGAGGGAAAATGGAAATTGTTTGGCTTAAGTCCATGCTGGACTTTTTGAATGGATTTGCAGCCTCAAGGGATCTTTTTGCAGATTCTTGCTAGTTGAACCTGGCTGTCATTTTGCCTTGCAATGTTGCACAGTCAGAGCCCTGTGAGGCAGGGCAGCCCAAGGAACAGGGAAGCACTGGCACTCCAGAGAGGCTGGATTCATGTTGACTCAGACCCAGTGGTTGAGGATGGGCAGAAGAGGAAATTTGGTGTAACTTGCTTACCAGGATGGGCAGAAAAGAAAATTTGGAGGAACTTGCCAAACCAGGAATATGTATTTGTGTTTTGGCTTGTGTTAGCTCAGGGGAGTGCCAGGGCTCTGCTCCCTGCAGCTGGCACTGGAGGTGCACAATTTGCAACCATTGCAGGGTACAAGACCCACAGTGGGTTGTCCTTGCCTGCCCTGGCCATCACTTCGAGCCAAGGAAGAATTTATTTCTTAGTTCTGCATTTGTGAGTCTTGTCAGGGAGCTGTGGAGACAATCCCAAGCAACTGCATTTTCCACAGTGCTTTTGGGCTTTGCAAAAGATCTGCTTCTCTGTGATAGCTGTCAGCTCACCTTGGTTATGTTACACCTTACAGCTCTGCCAGAAGAAATGCCACAGCATCTCTGTCTGACACCCCGGTGATCCCCACTGTCCCCTACCCTCCTCATCAGCAATCCAGTTAGCGCTCAGATAATTCCTCTTGTGTCCAGGCAATCACTGGTTTATTTGTTCCTAGCTTTCCAATGATGAGGAGATCCACAACGTGGGCACGTCGCTGACCTTTGGCTTTGGGACACTGGCATGCTGGATCCAGTCTGCCCTTACCCTCAAGATCAACCTGAAGAATGAGGGGAGGAAAGCTGGGATTCCACGAGTGGCTCTCTCAGCCAGCATCACCCTCTGTGTGGTGCTCTGTATCCTTTTGTCTTGCTCCCCAGGAAGCCAGATATTGTGTATGTCCTGCAGCAGCTCTTCTCACACCTCTCCCAGGATCTCAAAGCATTTTGGAATGCTACTCAGTCTGTCTTCATGGCACAGTCCTATTCAGTGCCACACTGTGTAGTGATGCTTCCAGATTTCAGAGAAAGGGACAGTTTTGCAGGTGAAAAATAAATAGAAGGAAATAGAAGGAAATATTTCACGGATGATGTTGAAAGGTGTTCCCATTGCCTGCAGTGGGTGCAGTGATCTGATCCAGTTCCCACCATGAAGATCCTGGCAGGTAGGGGCCCACAGCCAGGTCCTCACTTGCTGGCTCTGTCCTGTCTAGGTGGATGCTCAAGCAAATCACTGACTTGTCTGCACCCAAGTCTTCCCCTCTCTAAATGTTTATCACCCTGATCTGGGATCAGGAAGCTCTGGTCTGTATAGGAGAGCTGCTGTGCTCTATGGGCATCGTTGGACACCTGACGTCCCTTTCATCTCTAGCATCACATTCACACTCTCCTCATGATGGGTTGACTTATCCAGGTGACTTTGTTCAGATTTTTTTTTTCCCTGTTGGCTTTCAGACTGGTTGGTGTCTCTGCTCCCAGTTGTTCTCCTTAACTTTCCTCTTCCAGATTTTATCCTTATGGCCCAGGGCATTCACATGCATGCTTCCAGGATCCAGTGGGGCCTAGTGATGTGCTTCCTGTGCTACTTTGGCACCTTTGCAGTGGAGTTCAGGCATTACAGATTTGAGATAATTTGTTCTGAGTACCAGGAAAACTTTCTGAGCTTTTCCGAAAGCTTATCAGAAGCCTCCGAGTACCAGACAGATCAGGTGTAGCCTGTCCTCTGGTGGGGGGGAGGGGGGCAGGTGTGGTCTCATGGGTGAAACATGACCTCATTTACACTTTTTTTATGAGTTTCTTTTCATGTGCAATCATGATGGTATTGCCAAAGGGCTCTGAGGGTGGCTGTCTCACTAAGAGCCAAACGGAGGTGTCTGCTGGAAGAGGAGTGGATCCATCTCAACGGCAGTGTGAGAGCACAGGCTGCTTAGTTTGTGCCACCAGTGACTCTTTCTGAGTGGCTCTGTCACACTTCTGTTATTCAAAACATTCAGCAGCCTGTCCTTGTGACACCCCTCTGAGGCTGGCCCTGCTCAGCCCGCCCTGCAGAGACGGAGGTGAAGGAAGCAGACTTCTCCTAGCAGCAAGAGTCTCCAGGAGTCACCTGTTCCCAAGTCACCAGACTGCATCTTCCGTGTTTCCCGGGTTGTTTTCTTTGCTGCCAGCCGGGGGAACTTGGCAGGGGGAGCAAGAGCAGCAGTTTCTTCAGAATCAGACACAGAAGACCCCAGTGGACTGGCTTTCATGGCAAGCAGGCAGGCATTTCTTCCAGCCTGGAAAGCGGCCGACGGTAAATCTGGGTTTGGAGGAACTGTGCTGTGATCAGGAAGTGAGACTTAGCTGATGCTGCCTTGTGGCCAGGCAGATCACCCCCAGGCCAAAGGGATGGCACAGTGGGCTGCTGAGTTGGCTTCCTGCTGGGCACTGGTAGGAGTGAGGTGCTGAATTAAGATGAGGTCTGTGTGCTCTGAAAACGACTCAGAAAAGGCTGCTTTTTCCATGTGTAGTGCTTCCACCACACATTGTGTATAGTATTTCAAAAGCTTTTTAAATTTTTTTTTAATGTTTACTGAGGGGGAAAACATTGTGTTAGAGACACCAGGCTTGTCTGCCATGAGAGCAGTGCCAGTGCTTCTGGGCACAGGGTTTGGTTTTGCTCCTTGTGCAAGCCAAACTTCAGACATGCTGGTTTGGGCTCTGGGCCCCTCAATGTGGCCAGTTGTCCTGAGTGGAGCCTGCCACAGGTTTAAATGGGCTTCCAAAGTGCCAGGAGGGAGTTCTGGCACAGAGGCTGGCTGATCTGCCTGAGAGCTGGAGGTGTGAGAAGGGAACAACAAAATCAGAAGGGCTTTTCCTTCCCTAAAGGGAGATTTTCAAACAGAAGGTCTGTTTTCAGAGAACAAGGAGCTCAAAACCTGATTTTGGGAAGGCTGCTGTATTGCCTAGGTAGAGGAGTGATGGGAGTTGCTTGTCCCCATGGCTCCTATTTTCCTCCATAAATCAGGCTCAGCTTAGTTTTACATATTGTCTGAGCTTCAGGAAAACAAGCAGAAATTAAAATGGTAGGAAAAGGCTCTTGAAGGGGAACTCGTACTGCTCTGTGGCATTTCTGACAGAGAGGGAAAGGAAAATGCAAAAGGGCATTCAGTCTTCTGCAAAGGTCACAGGCCTCTCCTGAGAGCAGAAACAGTTGAGACAAACTGTGTGTTAAGTAGAAAGCTTTCAGCCAGCCCTTTATTTCCTGTGCACCAAAACTTGTTCTCAGGCAGCTGTTACAAATCCCGAGCATTTTTGGCCAGCAGAGGGTTGTTGTTGATTGCTGAAGGCTTCCTCCTTGTAGCAGTGTCTTGAGTGGAAAGTTTTCCCAGAAGGATGTGCTGAGAGTGGCCAAGGACACAGCAGTGTGAGGTGCCAGCTCCCTAGAGGCTCATCCAGGGAGCTGCTCCTGGGCACGGACAGGAGGGGACAGTCTCTGGAGAACATGCAGGTGGGATCCTCTTGCACTGGCACACACTCAACCCACGTGGAGCACAAAATAGCAATTTGTTGTAAGGGTGTTTTACTGTAAATAGTCCACTGTGTCTTTTTTCCCCTAATTAATACTTTCAGTTTATTATTTTAGCTTTTGTAATTTTATCAAAGAAAAAAAAAAAGGATGATGTGGTTATTTTTTTTCCTTTTGCTCCTTTTCCTATATGCAATCCAAACTGAATTTCGGGTTTTTAGTGATAATTCTGTACATTTCTTAGAGTATTTCTAACAGCACATTTCAGTACAACTAAACGACAACCGATGTACACTAAAACATGACCACTAAATAAAGTGCTTTTATGGAGAAAGTGAGCTTTATTTTTGTCCCTACCCCAAGCATAGCTTTCTGATGGCAAAGGCAAAACAAAAGGTGAGTATTTATTTACAGTGTAATGATTAACATTATCACTTAAGGAAGCCAGGGACCATACAGCCATGCAGATACACTTACTGTAACAGCACTAATTAGCAGGCTCTTTCTAGGAGCAGCATCACACCCATTGCACAGCCCAGAAAGGCATCTGGACTAGCTGCCCCACAGCCTGACCTGCTACTGTTAAATTTTTAGAAGGGCCATGCTGGCACAATGTAATTTCCTCCCCAAGTGCTTGTCTCTTCATTGTTCTTAACCCATCAGCCTCCCTCAACAGGGACAGCTGTAGGTATAGGTCAGGGATCAGGAAGGCAGCAAGCACCTCCTGTATTTTGGCTGGCTGTGAGGGCAAGACACCCGTGCATGAAGTGCCAGCAGCAGGGAATGGGGAAACAGGATTTCAGACAGGAGTTTCAGACTGCCTCTGGCTCCACTACTACCAGGTATAACCCACCTGTGGCTCTCACTCCTGCACTGAGCCACAACTGAAATCCTGAAATGGTCAGGGAGGTAGTACAGCTTCCTCAGCAGGACAAGGCTGCTGCCTTAAAGGACTGGGGAAAGTGAAAACAGGAACACAGTGTTCACAGGTTTAGAAATAAAATAATAAAATTTGCCTTTTAGGTGCTGGGATCACTGGTGCTAAGACAGGAAGGCTAAATGCCATGATGGAGTGAGCACAATGAAAGCAAAGTTGTGTTTTTATTTACTACATTAGGAAAAGTTCCATGACCATCTGATCTACATTGGCACAATTTAGGTAAGGTGAAAAGGTCAGGGGTTTAATTCTCATCAAATGCAGCAGGATGTCTGCCCTCAGGAGCAGTTTGTCAAGGTTTGCTCACAGCTGACCAGTGCTATAATGAGTGACTGGGTGATCTTGGCTGGAGGAGGAGCTCTGTGGGTCAGTGCTGAGATACTTCAGAAATGCTGTCAAACTGATTTGGGGTTCAGACAGTTGTATCCCATAGCCCAGCACCATGATGCAGCAGTGAAGTGTGTCCAGAATTTAATTTTTAAAGCTGTATTTATATATACTCAGCTTCATTCTGGGTAGGCTGGCTGTGGAGCTCTATGCAAGTTGTAGTGTTTTGTACCTAGAGCTGCTGCAGACACAGCCAAGATACACACTGCTCCTTGTCTAAAGAGCCTGCCTGCAGCAAGGGCTGGCTTCTTCTGTGGCAGCCCAATCCTGCTGTTTTATAGCCCACAGTTGGCATTTCCCTTTGGGAATCCTAACTGTGAATGTTTTTAACTTAGCCAGAAATTCTGTTTGCAGGGAGAAGCTCATATATCTCCCCGTGGTCCCCAGCACTCCCTCTGGGACAAGCGGACATAAACCTTGTTTGCAGACTGCTTCTAAAAATTACAGAGCTCACGGTGGGGCATCTCAGCACCAGATTTCAGTGGATGAGTCTGAAGGAAGCATTCCCTTAGCTAACTGCCAGCCAGGCTGCTCCTTGCCCTGTTCCCAGCTCCAGCTGGCAGCAGGCCTCCATCCTACTGCACAAGGGACCCCACACCATACTCTCCATCCATACCTGCCTGCACAAGGCCCAAGACATAATGTGGATTTGGTTTGAAATTCTGATTATGGACAAAATGACCTAACATTTCACAAGGACAATTAGGTGAAGCACAGTCTTTTGTGCGTGCACCGCTTTCCCTAAGTGGAGGAAGGCAAGAAAAGTTCAGTGAAAGACGAGATGAGGCTGTAATAGGATTTCTCATCGTCCGTCAGTCCTGCGTTGCCCGGTCTGATCACCACAGCCACGTGAGTGTCCGCCTCCTCGGCCGCATTGGCTTCTGAAACAAACAGAGTGGGGACAGTGGAGGTGACAGCTGCTTTCTGACTCTTCACAGCAGGGGCCCTGAGGCTGGAGGGTGCCCCAAAACACTCGAGTGCTTCTAAAGGCTGAGACTGAGACTGCAGCGTTTGCATGTGGCAGGGCTCTAGAGAGGAACCAGCCCCTGGCTGACCTGCTGTGGATGGCTGTAGCTGCAGGAATGGACAGGAGCTGGCTGCCTCACCATCCCCTCCCCTCTGCCAGCTGATGGCTGTCCAAGGCTCCTTGCAGGCAGCACACACCACCAGCTCAATTCCAGCTCCATCAGCTGAATTCCTGTCATGAGGCTGTGGTCAGCCTATGGCATTTGTGAGTCAAACAGCCCTCTCCCCCAGTCACTTCTCACAAGCTTCTTTTTGCTCCCTGAGCACAAAAGGCCACTGGAAGATGATCCAGGGAAAGGAGGTAACTACAAGCTCCCACCAGCTCTGCTGCCAAGGCTGGGAAGAAGGTAAGGACTAACTCTGGAGCACTGAGCTGGCTCAGACTGAGACCCAGTGCTATTTCTGCCAGAAAGATATTTCCAGCTAAAGCAGGAAATGAAGTTAGCTTCTCAAGCCTGGCTTTCCATGGGTCAAGTCCTGGCAACCTGAAGCAATGTTTTCCTGCTGCCAAACACAACCTAACCATAAGTGGCACAAAGTACCAGCCACGTAGCAACACAGCAAACACCATCATTTCCCCTGAGCACCAGCCAAACCACTGACCCTGTTTGTAAATGGGCTGTGCTTCAGCTCTGCTTCAGCACTCTCTCCTTCCGGGCTGGTGCAAAGGCAGGTTTTCTACTTGACCTATTTTCCCTCATTGCAGCACTGCACACGGACATCCCGCTGCTGTGTGCAAGCCCAGGTGTGTAAAGGAGGATGGCAGCAGCTAGAGGGAAGGTGCTGAAGCATTTCGGGGGTGAGAAGGCAGCAGCACACCTCTGCAGAGCATCTGCCTCCACTGCACAGGTGAGAGCCAGTAGGACTGGCAGGTCACATACCTCGAGGGACATCTGTCAGGAAGAGGATGTTGTTGGTGGCACACCCAATACTGGCAGCAATCCTCCTGTAGCTCTCACTTTCTACCTTGGGGCCTATTTTGGTATCAAAGTGGCCATCAAAGAGCTGAAAGAAAGAGAGAAGCACAGGCCATTGCTGAGTGCCACCTGAAGAGCAGGAATAAACCTCCCTCCTTTCCCTTTCTGCCACAGTAACGAGGGGTCAGTGCAGCCATGCTCTCACAGTCAGCTGCTTGAGCTGAATTCCCATGGATCAAACCCACTGCCCCACCTTCCTGTCACAGAATTCATTCACAAAGTGTTACAGCAAGGGTGGTTGTGGGAAGGGAGTGCTCTTCAGGGGAGAAGCTGTAAGGAAGGTGGTAAGGTTATCTACCTCTAGGATATCACCTTCTGTAGAGTATCCAAACAGAAGCTTCTGGGCTTCGACGCTGCCTGAAGAGTAGATATAAACCTTCATCCCTGCTTCCCGCCACTTCCGGATGGCTGGAACGACGTCCTCAAAGATTCTGGAGCAAAACAGGGCAGCAGGTAAGGGCAAACCCAGAGGCACCTGGAGGGACATCATTAGCCAGGCACTGTGACAATTCATTTTGTCCCATTAGTTTGCAAGGGGACTTCAGTCTGCTCAAGGCCCAAAACCAGAAGGTCTCTTCCAGCAGCAGGTGATGCAGAGCCAGGCAAGGAGATTTTAGAGATCTCGCTCCTTGAATGCAGCCAAGCAGGCAGCTTTCTCCACAGTTTTTGGGTCACTGTAAGGCAATTTACCCTTGTTTTTAAAAACAAAACCAACAGGATATGTGTCTCTCTTGACTTGTTTTTGGGTTTTGTTAGTTTCTCTGGTAGGTGTTTACATTTTTCTGTCAGCTCATTTTCTTCTTCCCAGTGCCAAGTGTTTGGCAAAACACTTTGTGAATTTACAGGTTTGTTTTACTTACTTAGAGACCTGAAATGCACAGTATAATCAAGCACCTCTTAAATAAGAAAATCGGGCTCAATTTCAGTTGTCCCTACTTATGCACTCCTGTGTTGTGGCTGAAACATAAAGAACCTGAAGACAAAAAGAAGTGGAAAGGCAAGAAACACACAGGTAAAAGACAAAGCAGGAGGAAACAACTGAAAGGGTCTGACCCTGCAACCCTGGCTTGTTTACACTTGTTCCAAAATATGAGTGCAATTTGGGGATAAAAAATGCAAGATGGAAAACTGTAAGAAGTGCCTCATACTTGTGCCTTAGACTCTCGGTTTACCAAGAAATCTCTCAAATATTGGCTCATCTGCTGAGCTAGTGATGCTACTTGTACTTGTAACTGGGGCTGTTCCCAGGAATAGCTTATGCAGCTCTTCTGCTAATAAACTTTCAGGAGAGATGCCCCCCACACCTGCCCCCCAGGAGGGGCACACAACTACTCACACAATTACTCACTCTCCTTTGACGTGCCCGGTGGCATAGGCTGCCCTCCACATGTGGCCCTGCAGCTGCTTCAGTGCCGTGGTTTTCCTGTCCAGGGACATCTGCCAGTGCACGTTGTCCACAACGGCCTGGATGACGCGCTCCAGCTCCTCCTCCCCGCTGCCGCTCTCCAGAGGGATGGGCACGGCCCCGTCCAGGCTGGAGTCCTCCTGAGCCTGCAAAGAGGAATCAGAGCATGGTGTCAGCAATGCCAAGGCTGTGGGTCTGATCCCTGCACGGGCTGCTCAGAGTTGGGCTTGCTGATCCGTGCAGGTTCTCTCCAACTCAGACTGTTCTGTGATTCTGTGCAATCATCCATGATAAAAAGAGGGGAGGGAAGAGGTGGAGCAATTTCCACAGCTCTAATGTAGGAAAGTGATCTAACACCTGCATCCATGCACTCCTGTGCAGGACACTGCTTGAACTGCTCTTCACACGAGGGCTACAACACTGTCTGAATACTTTTCTAAATAGAAAATTGAGGCAAGTTTAGAAATACTTGCTTGGATTGTGCTTTCCAAACCAAACGATTAGCGTTACTGTAGCTGTATTGTAAATACTCTAATGAGAACGATGCTTGATTAAGTATTTAATTACTGTAATTATCGCAAAGAAGCAAATGCATGTGTTGGCTTCAGCCACAAGTTTCAAACTGATTCTGTGTCCCTCTACAGAGGCAGCATCCACTGTCCTGTGTGGAACAAGTGCTCTGCCATCCCTCTGTGCTGCTTCCCAAGAGAGGGAACAAAACAAAAGAGGGAACTTCAACAAAAGAAGGGCACAGAGCAGGCAAAAAGCTGGAAAATGTTGGCTCAACAGCTGCCCTGGGGCTGCGTGGACCAAGGTGAGCTGAGGGAAGCTGCTGCCTGCCAAGCCTAACCCCAGGCTTTGGACAGTGGAGAATCCAACCTTCAAGGCAACTGGCTTCCATGGATAAAGGCCAAGAGGTAGGGACAAATGTGGGGTGGCCGGGAGAGCCTGAGTGACCTGAAGCCTCAGGCATGCCATGAAAACGCAGAGACACGGAATTACTGTTTTACTTAACCTGTTTCCTCAGAAGTCCGACGTCCCGCTGGCACTCCTCCTCCTCCCAGTGAGCACGCAGATACTCCTTCACGTTGTCTTTGATGTAAGGGAACAAGGTCTCCTGGCAGAAAAAGAGGCTGCTCCTGTAAGCTGGCAGAGGTAGGGCTGACTGGCTTTTAAAAGAGCCATTTGCACGTGCTGCCGTGTACAGTTATTCCCCCAAATTTAAGCTTCCCTGCAGTGCTGCAGCTGGTGAGACTTCCTGCCAAGGGTGTCTGCCTGGTCACAGGACTGAGCCAGCCTCAGGCCAGGAGCAGTGAAGGTGGATTTTTTTACACAAATGTTTATATAGCTGAAACTTGTAAAGCATGCGATGGAAAGGTGGGTGATAACTTTTCCTGGGCTTGCCAAAAAATGTCTCAAATGGCACAAGTGACCCCACATTCCCACCAGCTGAGGAGCACAAGGCTGACAATTTATGTACTCTGAACAGATAAGTTATGCTATTGTATTCTTGATGGGGCACTTGTCCTAGCAAAGGTCATTCTGAAAATACGTCTCAACCTCTCCCCAAAGCTAAAGGACCTTTTAAAATTAAAAGCCTGGTTTGGTGACACTGAACTCCAGAGGACAGTCTTACCAATGAAATTAAATGGGGTTTGGGAAAAGCGCCACATGAAAATTACAAACCTTCACAGAGATCCCAAGGGCAATCAGAAATAATTACAAATTGCTCTCATTAGCGGTGCTCACTAGTAGGAAGCCACAAGCAGCCACCCTGCATCTCCAGGCACAGGAAAAGCCTCAGGTCAAGGAGAAGGGCAGGGAAGTCCTTCCTTTGGGTAGAGAACTGAGCTTTTCTTAATTGGAAAAAAAATAACCCAAACTCACCTCTCCTCAAAAAATGGCCCACAGGTCTGTCATATTTAGCTTGTTACTGAATTAAGAAAGCAGCAGTCCTGAGATTGTGATGTAGTGGCAGAACTGCAGGATTTTCTATTGCTTTAATACTGTGTTTTCCATGTGGTATATTTTAAAAACAGTGCAGATTGCTTTAAGACTTACCACAAACTTGCCTAGGGAAATCAAAAGCCTTGTAATGCCCCCAGTTACTCTCATGTCCTTTATTCAACCTGTCTTTTAAATCTGAGGAAATTAAAGAGGAAATGCACTGGGAAATGCAGCTGACCTGCTGGCTTGGTTTAACCTCCTTTACAGCTCACAAGTCAAAAGGACCCAATTGTTTTTCAAAAGCAGTGTTTCATACTCTTGTGCTGGCTAAGAAAAACTCCCAAACTGACTCTGAAAGATCAGTAGATTCAGTGATTTGGGGGATTTTAAAAGGGTAAAGGTCTTAGCAAGTGCATAGGTCTGTGAACTAAAAGGGGACACCCACGTGACAGCTGGAGTAGTGGACAGCTAGTGGGACAGATGGGTTATGGATGCCAAGAGGGATCCCAGTCAATGATGTACTAAGTTTAATAGGCCATGAGTGTGTGTGGAAGAAAGACTCCAAATACTCTCTTTTCTGGTATCTTTCCTTAATCCACCCATCAACTGACTCATTCTATTTCCTTGCTTTGCAGATTCAGCAATTCTAACATTAGAGAAAGGATTAAATAAAATCGTTTAATACTGAAGAATAAAGTGTCCACTGAACCATCAGTGGACCTTTCAAAGGCAAATAGAGGTTAACTGAAAGACCAAATGAACTAACTTGTTCCAAGCATTTTCAGGATTTCCATCAAACTGAATTTTATTGAGAATCAAAACTCATTTGGTCTCCCTGCAACTCAAAGACTTTGGGTGGAAACCCAAAGCCTCAGGTGCATGGCATGTTGTTTGCACAACTGCAAAACAGCTTCGAGGTGGACAGAAACAACTCGGTTGCTCTGTTAGATGTTTAGTAAGAAACCTGAGCTGTCCAAACTGCTTGAACTGAAAGGTATTGAGGGCAGGGAGACAGCTGTAATGCCACATAAGCCCGAAGTTTCTTCAAGAGCACTGGAAGAACACGGACAGGAAAGATGTAGGTCACGCTGTTCATCTGTTAGGCTGTGTTAGCAGAAGCCTCTAGAAAGCCAGGCAGGAGCCTCCAGCTGCCATGTGGGTCACAAAGCACCTTTGTAAGCCACGGCTGCAAAGATCCACCCAAAGCTATAATGTCTCACGGAGAAATCCGGGATAATGAACGGCAGGAGAAGGGATATCCAAGCCGCTCCCTCCTGCCAACCAAAGCCTCCCGGAGAGGAGGGACCCCGGCTGTCACAGTCTGCGGCTCTCCGAGCGCCTGTGACTCGCAGGCTTCCCAGTCCCCTCGGTCCTGCGCCTAAACCAGCATTTCCAGGAGTCTTTAAGCTCTTTCCTAGGCAAGGGAAGGCACTCGTGCATGGGCTGCCCCTCCAGTCCCCCGCACGGCCGGACACGCTGCCCCGGCACACCGCACAGCCTCCCGAAGGGAAGAGGCAGCGCACCGAGGTACTGCAAACTGGTAATTACCGACATTAAGGGCAAGAAGCGCCGTACTCCAAAGGGCTCGCACCGGAGGCTCCGCAGAGCCGGGCGCGGTGCTGCAGCTCCAGCCATCAAAGAACAGCGATGCTCCAGGGCTTTTCCGGGATGCGGCTGGAGCACCCCCTACATCCATCCATGCAACAATCCCTGGGCTTTTCTGGGATGCGGCTGGAGCACCCCAGCTGCCCTACATCCATCCATGCAACAATCCCTGCCCTGCCCGACCTCCGCGGCAGTGCCCTGCTCCCCAGCCCACCGACCGGCAACACAAGGCGGATTTCCTCGCGAGCATTATTCGGAAAAACGCAGAAAACGGGTCACGGCTTTCGCTCCCGGCGGCACCTCGGCCTGCCTCGAGGCGAACTGCCAGGGCCGGGGAGGTCACGGCGCGAAGGGCGATGCTACCGGAGCCCCGCGACGCCAGGGCCGGGGGGTCGCCACCGGAGCGGCGACGCCGCCGGAGCCCCCGCAGGGCCGGCGGCCTCCGGCTCTCACCTGCACGAAGGCGATGGGGGTGGTGGTGCCCTCGATGTCCAGCAGGATGGCGCGCACCTCCGCCGGCACCGGCAGCACGCCCATGGCGGCGGCGGCACGTGGGGCGCACCGGGGACGCGCGGCGGTGGCGGCGGGCAGCGCCGCAGGGCGGCTGCTGCAGCCCCGCCGCGAGCCGCCGGGGGCGCTGCGGCGCCGGGCGGGAGGGCGGCGCTGATTGGCTGCCCGCGCGGCTATATAAAAGCGGCGCAGGCGGTGCCCGGATCTCTTCCGCCGCCATTTTCTGCCGGGCGCAGGTCTCCGCTGTCTCCGCCGCTCGCACGAGCACCCCCGCCGCCCTCGCCCCGCCATGGAGGACTCGACCGAGATGAGCGGCGGCCAGGAGGAGTTCGCCGAGGGCTCCAAGATCAACGCGAGCAAGAACCAGCAGGACGACGGGTAGGGCCGGGGACGTGGTGGGGGGGAGGTGTGGGGGAGTCGCGCGTCCGTCTCCGCGCCCGCCCCGCGGCTCGGTGCGCGGCTCGGTGTCGGGGGGCAGCGCGGCCTTCCCTTGCCGCACCGCGGCCGCGCCCGCCTTTGTGTCCCGGGCGGGTGACCCAGTTTCCGCGGGGCGGGGACACGGGCGGGGGGGCCGAGCGGGGCCGTGACGTCACCGCGGGCGGGGGGGCTCTCCCGGCGCTCCCTCACCCGTTCCCTGCCCCCCAGGAAAATGTTCATCGGGGGCCTCAGCTGGGACACCAGCAAGAAGGACCTGACGGAGTATCTCTCGCGGTTCGGCGAGGTTGTGGACTGCACAATCAAAACAGACCCGGTGACTGGAAGGTCGAGGGGGTTCGGGTTCGTGCTCTTCAAGGATGCTGCCAGCGTGGAGAAGGTGGGTGCCTTCCCTGCGGACCCGTGGCACGGAGCCAGCTTGCGTAGCTGCAGCGATCTGAGACTTTGTTCCTTTGTCTGCTCTTTAGGTGTTGGAACTGAAGGAACACAAACTGGATGGCAAGTTAATAGATCCTAAAAGGGCAAAAGCGCTGAAAGGGAAGGAGCCACCCAAAAAAGTGTTTGTTGGTGGGCTGAGTCCAGATACATCTGAAGAACAGATTAAGGAGTACTTTGGTGCTTTTGGCGAGGTATAGTATATAAGAACACCTCTAATTCTCAAGTGTAGTCTTGCCTTTCTTAAGAAAGAATTTGTGAGGAGGGAGTTGGCCAAAACTAGAGTTTAATCTATATGCTAATGATTTCATAAAGTTGTAATGGTCTGCTTTATAGCTGCCAGAAGTGGTTAGTGTAGATTCTGCGCTGCCAGATGGTTCTGGTGGCATAAAAAGTTGCTCATAGATTTCACTCATTGTTTATATTCATTTTGATTTCAGATTGAAAACATTGAACTTCCCATGGACACAAAGACGAATGAAAGGAGGGGCTTCTGTTTTATCACATACACAGATGAAGAGCCAGTAAAGAAGTTGCTAGAGAGCAGATACCACCAGATTGGTTCAGGCAAGGTGGGAAAACTCTTATTCTTAGCATGTCAAATCTATCTCTCTAGGCTTCTCTGAAAGCAGCTCACAAAATGCTCTTGGAATTCTTAGTAAATTAAAGGCTTTCTTTCCTTACAGTGTGAAATCAAAGTAGCACAGCCCAAAGAGGTGTACAGGCAGCAGCAGCAGCAGCAGAAAGGGGGGAAAAGCAATTCTTCTGGTGGACGTGGAGGTGGAAGGGGACGTGGACGGGGTGAGTATTTGCAGTGGTTCTGTTCATCCAAGTACTTACCAAACACTCTGGTGTTTGTAGATACTCTAGGTTGCTCTAGGTGTGCAGATCTCATGTTTAAATCAAATGTGTAAAGTAGCCTGTTAGTAAGTGGTGTGTTGGTGGTTATGGTTGCTTGTTGGAGCTGGGGAATCTCTTGCTTTGCTTGTGTCCAGGTGATGAAGGGGCAAGGTGGATGTAGGGTGCTTTTGTACACCCTTAGTGGACAGTGCAGTCAGCACAGTTATGCTTCCACTTGAAAGGGATACACTTAATTGGCCATGGGTGAGAAATCAGGAGCTGTTTGCTAAGGAGTGGGATGGTCACTCTGCTGCGCCTTCAAATGGATCAGAAGGAATCAGCTGATATGTTACAGGTCAAGCAGACACAACTCGCACCACGCAGCACTGCTTGTCCTGTGGTGTCACTTGGTGCTCAGGCAATTACTGATTATTCTAGTATCCAAAAAGTTAGATGAAGGGGCACAGGAGAGGAGTGAAGTAAGTTTTGAAACTTAAAGTTGCTATGCTTGGTTTCAGGTCAGGGACAAAACTGGAACCAAGGATTTAATAACTATTATGATCAAGGCTATGGGAATTACAATAGCGCTTACAGTGATCAGAGCTACAGTGGCTATGGAGGCTACGACTACTCTGGGTACAACTATCCCAACTACGGATACGGGCCGGGATACACAGATTACAGTGGTAAGTGGTTCTGCCCTCATTCCCGATAACAAGAGCAACGTTGCTCTCAGTCAGCCCATGGCTCTGAAGATGAGATCCTTGGTGTGCTGCTGTGTGTGCAGTCTCCCTCTGAGGCTGGTGCTAACCCTTGTGGGTTCTGTTTTTCCCCACATGCTACCTCCAGGCCAACAGAGCACGTATGGGAAGGCGTCCCGTGGCGGCGGCAACCACCAAAACAACTACCAGCCCTACTAAGGCAGTACCTAGTGCCTGACAAACAGGTGTGTACAGGAGCGCACGCTCCACTCCGACTACGTCTAATCTAATTTAAAGATCAATAGACAAACGAAGAGTAAAAACTTGCCTAGCATGACTTTTCCTTTAATTAAGCTTTTGTTAACTTAAAAAATACTTTTTTTTTTAAAACCAGCTTTGCCTACGTGTCTATAGATCTTTAACTTTGTAAAAGCGTGACTTTATCTTCTTTAGTACTTCAGAAAAACATAAGAGTTTTTCTGGTTTGCGTTGTGTACCAGGTGGTCTAGAGGAATAATTAAACTTATTAGAAGTATTAACAGGTAAAGTACTGAAATGGGTACAACTTAAGGAAAACAAGAATGTTGTCTTCTAACTCTGACATTATACCTTGTTTGTACCCGCCAGCGGGAACTTCATTGCAGGCCGTGTGTCACCCTGACCACGTCTATCTCTGGGGTCGCACGTTGCAGGCAGAGCGCAAGGCATACACCAGAAAACGCTGTCCTGTGGTATGGTCTCTTCCAACTTCATGTACCAGCGTAAAGATTAAAGTGGAAAACTTCAGACTTTGGCTTCTTTTTTTAATCTTTTTTGGAGATTAAGTGTCTTTAACTTAAATGGTTTTTTACAGGAGTTAAAGTACATAAATGCCTTTACAGCTTAATCATTTGGTCTTCTGTTTAGTGTTGTATTTCAATTGTGGAACCTCATTTTAAATGTGCATTCTTTAAGATTTTAATGCTTGCTTTTTTCTTTTTATAGCTAATAGTGAAATCTGCAAACCAAAACGAACTTTTAAATCTGGATAAACATTAAAGATCATATGCATATGGACTGTCTGAACGAAAGTGACCTGACTTGTGTTGCACATAAGTCGTTTAGTTGTATAAACAAACAATCAGAAAGCCTTTTGGCAGTGTTTCCAATGGAAAAGAAAGCAATCCACAGCCTGCTTACTTGTCTAAATTGGATGGTTGTTGTTTTGGAGCAGCCTCCTAGGTGGGCTGAATATTTGGGAAAGTAAGTTACTGATGGGTAACTAATCAAACCTCTTGTGCTACCTTAATAAATATGCATATGATCTTTAACAGTGAAGAAAGGAATATATAGAAGACTTAAAGCAGTTCATGAAAATGGACCTTTTAACAATCCTGTAGTAACTGTCACAGATCTGACGTGCATTTTGTCTTCATTTTTTAGGTAGAGATACTGCAACAAAAAGCCATCTTGCAACGCATCGTGAGTGAATGGAGGGTGGTCTTCGTGAGAGGAAATGACTATTTTGTAAAAGACTTTTAGTGTATGACACAACTGTGTCCAACTGTACATAGCGGCCGACTAGTTTTCTTTTATGGTTTTTACTTTCTTTTTGCCATTCATGTTATGACACAATGTGGACTTGTGTTTATACAAACTTTATTTGTATAATTTCATGTTAAAAGATTCTCTAATAAATGCTTACTTAAGTGAGTGTGGAGTCTTGCTGTCACCTTAAGGTGGTGCAACTATAGTTTTACTCGGACAGAAGGACAGGTACCTCCCTGGAGATCAAGGTTACTGTGAGAACAGGTCCATACACCCCCTTCTTCCTCCTGATCTGTCCTGAGAGCACCAGAGTGTTTGGAATTAGTGTCACTGTGGAAGATGGCAGAGTCATGTCCTGCCCTCTGCTGCAGCGAGGGGAGTGGTCTGTGGCACAACTGCTGGCAGTTTTGTACATCTCAGGAGGAATAGAGCTATAGCAGCACCTTTTCAGTGCTGATAGCACTGCTTGAGGAGTTGGAGCTTTTCAAGGCTTTTCAAGCACTTAAAACTTCCAAGTATTCTAGAATGTAGCTTAATTACTTTCCCACACTGGTTCTATTCCAATTCCAAGGAGGTGATCAGAAGTTCTTGAACTTTAGGATCAGCAACTATTTTCTGTACAACTTTGTACAAGTTAAGTGCTGCACTGGGCTCTTCTCACCTGGATCAGAAAACGAGTTTTCCGTCTAATGCACACTAGCAAGCACCAGCTGAAAGCCTGAGTGCCTGATTGCTGGAGAAGGAACACTGCATCAATCCAGCACGTGTAGAAATTAGGAAAGGGGTTGGGATGGGTAAAGGAGCGTGTGTGTTTTGTCTGAGGCAAAAGAATTGTGGCAGTCTGCCTGAAGATTTGATATTTCTCAGCACAAATACCTAGTCAAGCATAAAAATAAACCTTGCTTGTTAAAACTCACTGATGCCTCTGAGTACAAACTGAAGAATCAGCAAGAAGCCACAGCAGTGTGTGAGTTCATACACTGCATTTGTGAGTGCAGCTGGATCCACAGCAGCTGAGGGACACTTGTGCTACAAGAACATGGTTTCATTACTCCAGTGTTTTTTTAATACACGAAACCCTGCTAAGAGGTTAAAAGTAAAACTTGGGTTTTACTTCAATCTGTGGTCCTCCCACTCAGCACTAGTGAAGCGCAGCTGGAGTACCGTGTTCAGGTCTGGCTCCTCAGCACAGGAAAGGCAAAGGGCTCGTGCAGAGGGTCCAGGGAAGGGCCACAAAGACAATGAGGGGCTGGAGCATCTCCTGAGGAGAGGCTGTGGGAGCTGGGTGAGCATCTCCTGAGGAGAGGCTGTGGGAGCTGGGCCTGTTTAGTCTGGAGAAGACTGAAGGGGATCTCGCCATGCACAGCAATGTCTCAAAGGCAGGTGCCAAGGGGATGGCGCCAGACGCTTTTCAGTGCTGCCCAGTGACAGGACAAGGAGCAGCGACCACAGACCAAAACACAACAAGTTCCACCTAAACATGAGGAAGAACTTTGCACTGAGGGTGGCAGAGCACTGGAACAGCTGCCCAGGGAGGTTGAGTCTCCCTCTCTGGAGCCATTCCAAACCCACCCCGACCTGTTCCTGTGGCCCTGCCTTGGGCGGGGGGGGTTGAACTGTGCTCTCTCCAGAGGCCCGGCCCAGCCCTATCGATTCCGAGTGTCGCTGCGGGCCGCCAGGCTCCGGCGGCTCCCGGGGCCGCGCCGCGCTCCCCCCGCGCTCCCTCACGGCTCCCCGGGGGCGGCGTCACGTGTCCCGCCCGCCGCGCTCCTTCCGGCCGCCATTTTAGGTTGGGTCGGTGGCGGCGCCATTAAAAACAGCGAGCAAGAGGAGGAGGGATCGGCGGCATCGGCGCGCTCGGCCGGGGCCGCCAGCGGGGCCGGGGCCTCGGCGGGGAGGCGGCGGCACCGGCGCCATGTCGGATCAGCAGTTCGCTCTGGACTCGGCGGCGGTGGCGGCTGGCGCCGGGGGCAGCGCGGCGGAGCCGGCGGAGCAGCCTGAGGGGCAGGCGGGGGCGGGCAGCACCGATGGGGCAGGCGGCGGCGGCGGCGGGGCCGAGTCGGAGGGAGCCAAGATCGACGCCAGCAAGAACGAGGAGGACGAGGGGTGAGCGGCGGGGGCGGGTGGTGTGTCCCGGGCGGGGCCCGGCGCCCCCGGCCCGGCCCGGCCCCGGCGCTGCCCTGTTTGTTTACTTGGCGCCTCGGCGACGTCACGGGCCGAGCGGCGGGGGCGGTGTCTGGTCCCGCGATGTACAGACGGTGCGATGTGCCTCAAGCTAGAGGCCCCTTGGACTTATTTTTCTTTTTAACCGTGCCTTTTCTACGAGTTAAGGTGCGGTGCGTGCGTGAAGACAGTACCTCGGTGTAGCCGAACGCTCTGGTTGCAGTCGCAGCATTGCCCTGTGCTGCAAACATTACTGTGTGTTAGCTGAGTGCCAGAGGCGTCAGCTACCGGGACTTCTTCCCAGCCTAAAACATGCCCCTGCTTCTCACGGAACTTGTTTCGAGAGGCTTGTCCGAGCTGGAGAAGCAGGAAGCTAAACCTGAACCTCCTCAGGTTATGCATCAGGAAAAGGTTTTTCACCTAGAGGGTGGTTGGGCAACAGAACAGGGAAGTGGTTACAGCACCAAGTCTGACAGAGTTCAAGAAGCACTTGGAAAATGTTCTCAGGCACATGGCGTGGCTCTTGGGGTGTTCTGTGCAGGGCTGGAACTTGAACGTGATTGTTCTGATAGGTCCCTTCCAACTCAGCATGTTCTGTTACTCTCTTTTATGGCGACTAAAGACAGCTTTTAATCTTTATAGGATCTCTGCCTGGGGCAGTGTGCCTTTTCTGTTGCCGGTGAAATTTGTGTGTAATAAATCCAGTGACAGGACAGGCTGGTGCGCTCTGCTGTCTCCTGTCGGGCCGTGAAACTCGAGCTGCACGTCTGTTTTTGGTCAAGGCAGAAAATAAACTGGATAAAGGAGTGGTAACTACTGTGTCCTGCAGATACCTGCTGCAAAACCTTCCTGAGTGTCTTCCTCCTTCAGTAATAACCTGGGATGTTGCTGAGAGAGATGTTAATAATCTGGGATAATGCAGAGCGAGAGAGCAGGACCCCTTTTTTGAGTATTTTGCTGGGATTAGTAGAAATTAAAATGGTTTTGTTACTTTTCAGCTGTTCCTAACAGCTTCAAATGCTTTTGGAGTTGAATGTTTGTTTTACTTACTACCCTTGAATACACAGCAATTAAAGGGTTTTCATGTGCAAACTCAGGTTCTTTTGAGGCAAGAGCGTTTAGAAGTTGTCTCTAAGCCCTGCAGTGATACTGGGCAGTGATTACATGTATCACACACTGACTTGTAGTCTGGTTCAGTCTTTCAGACCTCTCACCTCTTCTTTTGACAACACTTCTGGTAGGAAAGGGAAAGAAGCCGATCTGTGATACCTTGTTTAGCTAAGTCTGAGGTTTAAAAGCTTTCCCAGTGCACTTCTCCTAACTTATTTTGGGAAACTGTATGTGCTGATGTGGCTTGGACCAGCCAGGCTGGGCTAGGAAATGTCTGTATTTTACAGGCTTTTGTTAGCGCTGTGCCGCTGCTCCTGAATTGTTATGCTCACATTAGTGGTGTGGCCCTGAGCTGAGCTCAGTTTCCCTTGGAGCAGGGTTGATGAAGGGGCAGACTGAAGCAGCTCTGCTTTGCTGCTCTGTGCCTGGGCTCAAAGGTGCAGCTCCTGCGTGGAGAGATAGAAAACCTTCCAAGGCTGTTGGTTTCAGGCTCACGTTCTTGGTCTGCCTGTGCTTAGGAATACAAAGCAGGGTCTGTGTGTCAGTGTGGTTTGGGTAGCAGGTGTCAGTTCAGCAGTGACTGCTAGGGCATCACCGCCCCCCTTGTGTCACAAACACGATGCTGCATCCTCTGTGTCTTCTGTGTGGCTGCTTGAAAAGCCCTCCACAGAACAGCAGACAAGCTAAGGACCTTAATGGTGGGTGAGCAAAGGGCAGAGAGCTCCTTTGACTTACAGCCTGTACTGGTGTGAGGCTGCTGGTTACCAGGGTGGGCCATGAGGACACTAAGAAGTCACAGCGATAGAAAGGTACTTTCTGTTGGTACTTTGTTGAAGAGAGATCTGGAACTAATTGGAAAAGTGGGTAAAGGGATGGGGAATTGGTGCTTATTCTTTACAGATTTAAAAACATCTGAAGCTCCTGAAGATGTTATAAAAACATCTGAAGCTCCTGAACCCCTCCTCTGTATGGATCTTGTCAGAAACTGAATGCTCTTGTTAATTCTCTGGGAGCACAGCTAAGTCAACAGAGGTAGTTCAAAGGAGCAGCTTTTGATCGGAGAGAGTTTGAGTTGTGGAGGTCCAATGCTCTTTTACGTGATTGGCAGGAATATTTGTGCGTGGGAAGTGGAAGGGTTGGAAATATGATACAGTGGTTTTTCAGGTTTTCTGATAGCTGTGTCTGATTGTGAAATAAGTTGGGACTGTGAAAGTGGGCAGAGCTTTGTAGAAAGTGCTTTTATAGATCATAATGGATCATATTTTTTGGTTAGAGCTCACAGTAAAATCTTCTTCATCAGTATTAGAAGAGATCATCTCAAATCAAATCCTCTTTTGAATGGATTCCTAAGCCCTGTGTTTAATAACCTGAAATATTTCATTTGTGCATATACTGGTTTGATTGTTCATCTTTTAAAATTTTAATTTTTTATGCCTTACTAACATGGTGGGATGGTCATGATTCTAAGCTTGATTCTAAGCTTCCAGTGTGCTTTTGAAAATACAGGTTATGAATTATGTGCCATATACATCTGCTCAGCAACACTGGTGCTGTAGAAATATTGGAAAGACATTCTCCTGATGGTAATGGATTATGCCAGATGTTTTTATGAGGAAAAAACTTCTGAGTGTCCAATACTTTGCTTTTTCATAGCTGCTTTCTGGGGAAGGGAACTTGACTAAACTTTATTTATTTTAGTTTATTAATTTGGGCATATGTCCAGACTGGTAGATAAATGCTTCTGTTTTAACCACACTTTGTTACAAATCTAATCTGCCTGCATGTGTTTCAGTTGTGTGGAGGGTCCACAGGTAACTGGATGGAATTAAATGTGTGATGGGGATGTAAATAAGTAGTAAAATATCTTTTTGTCACTACTGCTAGTGGTTTCTTGGGACAGCAGAGTAAGCAGCTGCAGGAGAAGTGCAAAATGTTTGTGTATTGTAAGTCTTTATCTGTCCTGGCCAGACTCACTTAAGCAAGTTGTCAAAAAGTGCAGGCCTGTGTGTGTAGTGACATGACTGATAAAATGCTGCCAGTTCCATGCATTAGGTTATTGAGCTCATAAAGCTTGGCAGTGCAGGATTTTGGGTAACACACATTTACAGATTGACCAACTTGTCTTAACAGGAAAATGTTCATTGGTGGCCTCAGCTGGGACACAACAAAGAAGGATCTGAAGGACTACTTCTCCAAGTTTGGTGAAGTTGTAGACTGCACTCTGAAGTTGGACCCCATCACTGGGAGATCGAGAGGCTTTGGCTTTGTGCTCTTCAAAGAGTCTGAGAGTGTGGATAAGGTAGGATTAAAGTAATGAAACAAGTTCAGATTCAGGTATCAGAGATAAAGCACTCACTAGGATGACTGTAGGCGTTCTTACATCTTCTGGTAAAGATGATTCAGGGGTGCAGCATGTGTAATGTGCTTGTTGAAAATGCTTTCTTTTATGAACCATCTTACTCGTGATGCTGTGTCCAGGACCAGCAGTGATTCCTGAGGTATGGATTTGGGCACTTACAGGTTCTGCAAGCCATTGGACTTGGGCACTTGAAAATACAGTCTATAAATGTCCGCTGCCTGCTGCTGTGAAAGCAGCATCTGCAAAGATCTTCCAGTCTTTGCATTGCAGAGCTGTACCACGAATCCCTAGAGTACAGCCAATAGCTTTGATAGATTTAAGCTCTATCCAAGCAAAAATTAGTTGTTAAATTTTCTAAAATGCTGTGGATACAGCACACAGAAATGTTTTCACCTTTATCACCTTTGTGATATATGAAGTACAGATCTTTACTTCATAAGGTTTGAGGATGAGAAGAAGACTTTTTGAGAGATGTTACACTCTTGCTTCTGCTGGTGGTTCCAGTTGTCAGAACTGTCTGTGTCAGTGGATAGTGATCAAAAATCACAGAGCTTTGTGCAGCAAATTATTGGTGTGATCCAAGTATTGAAATTGAAGCAATTTTGGCCTTACTCAAAACATCAGTGAAACATTTAGCTTGAACTGTGTAAAACTGTGTTTTAATTATCCTCAGGTCATGGACCAGAAGGAACACAAGCTGAATGGAAAGGTCATTGATCCAAAAAGAGCTAAAGCCATGAAAACAAAAGAACCTGTTAAAAAGATCTTTGTTGGGGGCTTATCTCCAGACACACCTGAAGAGAAAATACGGGAATACTTTGGAGGTTTTGGTGAGGTATGTAGTGAAACAGAGTGCTTTTATTTGTTCTGTCTTCACAAATTTATTAATAAAAAGCATCCCCCACATGCAAGACTGCGTGGATGCTAATGTAAGCTTTGTGGCCATTGTAGTTCCATGTGTGTTAGTGGTCAGAATGTTGATACTTCAACTCAGAGTTACAGGCCCTGAGCTGATGATGGAAGGGGAAGGGATAAGTCAGAGAGGGAGGCAGTGTTTCGAGCAGGGTGCTTTGGTCAGTTGAATTAGATACTCTTCAGCCAGCTCATCTCCTATACCACGGATTGAGACAGTTTTGCCTAAGTTCTGTACAACTGTGTAGTCTGTGTCCCCAGTTTTTGGTGGTGCAGATGAGCTAAGTGTCACTGAAGTTTTTAAAAGCTGGTCTTGTATGAACTTGCTACAGCTGCTGCTCCCCTGTTGGTATCAGATGGTGCCAGCTTCAGGTCATAACTCTGTTCAGGCAGTTGGGTTGCTAAATATGTGCCCTGTTCCAAACTTACAGACAGTTCACTCTAGACTAAAGACTTTAACTGCTGTTTGCCTAGGAAGTCCCTTGTGACATAGGTACAGAGAACTTTGACTCTATTTGTAGTCAGGTCACATTGTCATATTCAAACCTAAATAATTTCAGTTAACACATATGACCTGTTAGAGGGATTTTGCAGTGACATGTATGTCAGGATAAAAGGTAAAATCACTGTCTTCCACCAGGTTGAATCCATAGAGCTCCCCATGGACAACAAAACTAACAAGAGGCGTGGATTTTGCTTCATTACTTTCAAGGAGGAGGAACCAGTGAAGAAAATAATGGAAAAGAAATACCACAATGTTGGGCTTAGTAAAGTAGGTGGATTCTTTTTCCTAGAGAAACTGAACTGTGACAACAGTGGGAATTACATTACCAGTTACATCTGTTTGGGGATAATAGTCTGCCAGTACCTGTAAGCATTCTTTTTCACATGTAGGCGTTGGGCCTGTGAAGTATTTATACAGGTGACTGTTACCTTAATTCCTGAGCTGAGAGGTTTTGTACTGCACCCTCATGGAGAGAGGGCTGGGCCCCAGCACGTTTTCCATCGTGCAGCTCCCACATTCTCTGGCAGCGTGGGCAGAGTGCTCTTTCACTGATCTGCTCTATCAGGCAGCACCAGCTTTTCCTGGTAGCTGGATCTTTGTGTATGCGTTTGTTGTTATCAGCAAATGTCAGTTTGTCTTAGAGAGCTTCCAAAACTGAAATGAAATGGGAAGTTAGCCTTCCTTGTTAGAAGTTGCATTCCTTTCAGAAACCTGGTTGAATTTCAACCTGGTAGCATATACTAAAATTGTAGCTGGACTGGTACTTGCACAAATATGTGGTGGAATCTTCAGAACAGAGTTGAGTTGAGTTTAGCATGTTGGCCCAACTCAGACTTGATTTCACTTTTCCCAAATGAATAGGCCTCAGAGGTTTAGTTCAAAGGGAAAGCAGAAAGGCTACAAAGAAACAAGCATTCTTTTCAGAATGGGTTCTACTGTGTCTCACAACTGTTCTCAAGTTAGACAGTGTAAGCTATCCATTTCTTTTTCAGGGAGGGCACCAGGGTGACCAAACCCAATTTTCTGCTTAGTGTTCTGTAAGTTTGAGTGATGT